AAAATCCATCGACATGGGAAACTTAAGAGATTCAGTTATCGTATTAAAATATCACTTTTAAATATGATATGCTCCAAAGTCCTCTCTCGTTCTTGCTTCTCCTTGACTGCCATCTAAGGGTAAGGGACTTAGCATGGTAGGAGGTCCCAATATAACTTGGTTGACGACTGGCTAGGTGATCCTTACTCTCCTTAATGTGTTACAAGTGCAGTGACTACTGGGTTGTGCTTGTAAAGTTTATTCTTTACCTCTTGAGAAATATAATCTCATCCATGATGCAAGTTATTTTTCAAAATTCTTGAACAGTTGGATTGTGGTATAGTTAAATCGATTGGTTTTTAAGAAAGAGGAGGCAAATATGCAATCCAGCTAAATTGATGGGCAAAAATATGTTGATATAGTTTGGCAAAGGGTTGGATTTGACTTGTCCATAAATTCATGGTATGTGTCAGGTGTTTTTCAAGATTCAGCATGAATTTCCAAATGCCATTTAGGGTAGAAAACTACTGAAGCTGCTAGGATTAAGCTCTATGTAGATGAAATAGAGGACAAGTAGTCAGCCCATTGGGTGCGAAGCACAGGATTCATTTCCCCGCCGACTTTCTCTTGATATGCAATCTGCTTTGTTCCATGTTCCTCCCATTTGGTTGCAGGCAAGTGTGCATTTTGCTTATGTACGGCAATTTTTACTGGCCAGACTCTCCTTTTTAACTCAAGCCGCATCTAATTTAATCTTACTTTAGTCCCAAGTGCCTTCTTCCTGAAGTCTTATACTGGATAGTTCTATTGTATTTCAACGTTCAAACCTCGACAATACTTGCACATGATAAAACAATCTCAGCCAGTTGTCTTGCATTATTTTTTCCCTTGGTGTCTCACGTAAGTTCCTACATATGCTTTTTTGATATTATCGATGTCACTCCCGACCCAGATTCTCTTTTGAACTGTGGACTTGGTAAATGTTCTGACCAAAAATTAGTAGCGAGTCTCCATCTAGGTCAGTTCAGTACATTATACATGATGGCTTCCCAAGGTGTACGCATCGCTGGTGATAGTCCTGGCACATATCTGATTAAAAACTTGAAATCCAAATTGTATTTCTAATTAGATCAGCTGGATAAGAATAGGATGCAATTGTGTTGGGGTTTCTCGCAGTTAACTCGAATCTGACTATCAACTATTCAATGTTGCAGAGCACTTAGTAACTTGGTAATTGTGTCTGCTCAGATGCTCCACATCCACATGCATGGCTTTTCTTGAACCATTTAACTCCACCAAGGACCCTATTTGTAGCTTTATTGTCTATGGATCTTTATGTATCATTTAGGATGCATATTCATTCAAATGCTCCAGATTCTTGATTGTGTGCTTCCCCCTTGACCTTCTAATCATTCACCTTGGTTGTTTCAGGGTCCAAGAAAGAAGATTCTTCTGGCATTGGAGTCGAAAGACTGACAGTTGGAGTGGACCACAGTTCAGTTGCTTGTTTTCCAAATCCCATTTACTTTGTCCAGTATTCCACAAAAGGCAGGCGTGTGTTTTAACTGGTACAAGTCTGTATGTAATTTATAATTTTTCGGATGTATTTCTAGAAGTGGCTTCAATGAGCTGGTCATTGGTTCCAAACCATTGCAACACTGATAGCTTGGGATACTGCTCAAAATTAATTTAGTGAACATGTAGCTTTTTTGGCATGTTTCCGGCAGTCGCCAGAGGACGGTATATTTCAGTTTGATTTGGTTTTCCCCTTACCTTCGGACACTGGAGTGCAGTTTCTGGAAAACTATTTTTTGTGTATAGAAACTACCGCGTGTATGTTTTGGTCTGCTGGGTGGGTGGGAGGGTTTTTTTTTAGTGTGTGTGTGTGTGGGGTGTTGGGGGAAAGGGGGAAAGAAGAGTGTCCCAGGCGTGCATGGGGGAGTGAAGTAATGATGGTGGAGGTATAAGATACCGAATGAATCATTTGATGCCAAAGTTATATGTTTGTAAGGTATGGATGGACTAAGAACGCCATTATAATGATGTAGTGCTGTTTGAACTGTGTGAAATGCGTAGTCCTCGTTGTCTATGGAAACTACTCGGGCATCACGGTGATGGTTTGATTAGTTTGTGGTGAGCTCGTTGTTCATGTAATGTGTTTTTTTCATGTTAGCGAATGGGTATACGTCCATTTCGTGTCTTCCAACTTTATACCAACTTACTTTGTATGAATGAGGCATTTTAGGTGATCAGGAAATTATATTTTTGTTAAAGGCCAAGATTAGTGTCGGCTTAGCACAAGTAGGGCCATGGGGCATTGCATAATGAAGTTCGTTGAGGGATCTTCTGCCCAAAGTTTAGAAAGAAATATTTGGTTCTCTGCAAAAATCAAAATTTCGTCTTGATGTATAGTTTGGGTGAGTTTGAAAATAGAAACGTTTTGATAATGTTTTGGAAATATTTCATAAACCAAATAGAAACAAAAAAAAACAAAAAATTATTTCCGTAACATTGATCATAATATGCCGAAAAGTAAGTTGAAATATGTTGAAATATCTCAAAATCTATTGCAATATCTTGAAATATAAGAAATTTGATATTCAATTAATGACTTATTTCAGTTTCCATACAAACAAAAACGTTTTGGATGTTTCAAAATAAAATTTTGAAGTCCTTTGGTAATGTTTTTGTTTTTGTGTCTTCAAAAATATCAAAAACAAGGATAATTTTTGTCTTTTTTTTGTGGTAAATACTGAAACAAAAAGCATGTTTGGGAGTCATTTGTGTCTATTGAATTATGAGAATAAAAACAAAAAATATGTTTAGTAACTACTTCAAGTATTCAACCACTAATGGAATTGCAGTAAGGCTTATTCAAAAATACCCTTCATACCGGCAGCAGTTTCAGGCAATCCTCGTTGATATTGTCTCCATAACAAACCAAAAACAAAACTACAAAGACATAATCACATACAAAACTACAAAGGAGAAGTCTTGCTCTAACAGGAAGATTCTCTTTGTGATATACAAATGCTTCCAAGTGAAATGATTCGCACCATTCAATCCTAATTACAAGACACACACACACACACACACACACACTGCACATTGCACTCTCCAATCTCCATTTAAACAGGCCACTTTAATCCCTAATACACCAATGATTAAATCCAATGACTGTGTTTCTTTTCCAATTCCAATGATTGTACACAATCTCAGCACAAAGAATGGTAAGCAACTGATGCAAATCATAGTACATGGAACCAATTAACAATCCCTACACTATACCAAAACCAAGGCCTTCTTTTCCCTTGGAACAGGCAGCATGCACTAATCCTGATGTAGCAGCAGCATCCCTGCAACAGGCAGAGAACCAGTCTGAATAGCATCTCCAATCTCCATTCGAACATGTCACTTTAATCTCTAATACACTATTGATTAAATCCAATGACTATATTTTTTTACCATTTCCACTTCCAATTCCAATTTCAACACACATAGAGACAGACATTCAGACACATACTCAACACACTAACACACACATAGAGACATGCATACCCACAAATCGGCACACATAAGCGCGCACACACATACAAACACAGATCTATGTATATATATGTATATATATACACAAATATATGTATATATAGATTTTTATATACATACCTTCACAACAATCTTTCAACTCGATCGACGTTGAAGAAGGTAGCAACGAAAATCAATTTGTTCAAGTAGACAGCAAGCTCCATTTCATCTGTGCATATATGCATAGATTTGTGTATATATACATATATATACACAGATCTGTGTATATATATATATATATAGAGAGAGAGAGAGAGAGAGAGAGAACGAGGAGAGGAGATGAGAGAGCGAGAAAGAGAGAGAAGGGAAGAGGCTTACCTCTCTGTTAGTGAGAGAGAGGAGAGGAGATCGCTACTCCTCGTCGGTGATGGTGAGAGAATGGAGAGAGTGAGCAGCGATGGAGAGGAGAGAGAAATGAGTGGGTTTAAACCATTTCACCAAAAAAGGCTGTTTTTGCTGCTAAAAAAGTTCGAAACCTGGATCTCATTAATTCCCTTTGGCACGTCTCTGCTTTACTTGTTTTTTGGAACACAAATTTTTTGTTCCCATTTTTTTGTATTTGTCTACAAAACAACTAAAATAAAACAAACAAAAACAGTACCCAAACATATTTTTGTTTTCATTTTTGACAAAAATTGAAAACAAAAATACAAAACACAAGACAAAAATGATTACCAAACGTCCCCTTAGTTCCTTAGTTCTCAGATGAACATTCCCCAGATATTGGGCTGCAGCTTGAGCTACTCAATGCCAAAATCTGAACTACCAACCTTAATTATAGGTCCTTTCTAATTTAGATATGGGTGCCAAAAATGTGCCAAGCAGAGAATTTACGATAATACAGCCACGCTGAAGCTCTAATCCAATACAAATGTTATACAATGAGTGATATCATGTTAATGCATTCACAATTAAACAAGCTCTCATCTCGGAGGCCCAAACGTTCTAGACCTTTGACAGTCTTTAAGAAATGGTAATATCTTAAAATCAGTTCTGGGATGTGAGAGATGCAGCGACAACAGCTGATTTTCAAGTAGCAGCAGCAGAGGCGTACATGCAGAAGGCGCTTCCCTAACATTGGCTAAATTGCCTGTACCATTATGTCATTCAGGAACATATACGAACCTTGCTTTGTGTGAACTCAGGCCAAGTGAGCCAATCTAGATGCTACCTTCTTTGGCTTTCCATGCTAAGTACTTTGACTTCTCTTTCTGGTATCTCCTATATTCTCGAACAGCTGCTAGGAGGACGTGCAACGAAACAGGCAAAAAGAAGGGCTGCTCAAAAGAAAAAGGATAAAGAAGGAGAATCAATCCACAGACAAGGACCTGTAGCTCAGGATAGTACATCAATACAGGTTTTTCAAAATGAACACGTACATTGAGCAACTACTCATTATCTGCACTACCATGCCTTTACAAGTAGGTTATATGCAACAGCTTGCAGATCTCAGGATGCATGGTCACTCGGACCATGGCTATTGTTTTTATTTGCCTATTCCCTGTAACATTTTTCCACTCCCCACCAGACTGATCAAATCTGGTCTATATGTTTTTTAGTTAGGCTAGATAAAATCAGGAACTTAACATTATAAGCAGTAGGTATGCAGTGGTTAACTAATTAAACATATAAAAATGTGTAGAATGCCACTGGATCTGCTCATGTCATGGTAATGGTACAAAACATACAAACAGTCGTGCTGTGCATGACCAGATCCACTGCCTGAGCATGTTTAAAATGATAGTGGAGACTATAGCCATCAGAAGTACAAACTTGTGTCGCCTTAAGTGCTGTGCCTACTAAAGAAACATGGTCACAATGCCGGTTTAGAACTGGACATCCAATCCTGTATCCAATGAATATGATTCTCAAAAATAATCAACATGAACTCTCTTAGGATAAACCATAAAGTACTATATTTTAAAGATTTTTTTTATCAAGTGAATCGTATGGTTTATTTATCAGCTAAATTTTATTAGTCCACATGCTCTGTCACAGTGGTGACGTGTGGAAAATAATCCACATTAAACACACGGAGATTGTATCTTACATTAATTGTTAGGAACTTGGCCTTAATGCCTAGTGCCTACCAATGCACATTTTAATGATTGATATTTCTCATAGTCAAGCTAGACAAGCCTCAGTGTTGCAGAACAAACCGAGTAGACAGCAAAGCAATGCTCAAAAGAGAAGTAGCTGACAGACATCATGGACGGGTGATAAAAGGCATCTTCTGCGAAAGATCTAGCTTGCCTTGAATACACTAAGAAAAGCAAAACAATATGTTAAAGTCTTGTTCACCAACTTGTGGACAGGATATCATTTAGACCATGCACATATTACAACTTACAAGTTGGATGGAACATACCAGATGAAGCATCATAATTTCCAACAGAGGCATTACTTCGAGCCAAATTTGCAGCTTTGAGAGAAAACTTTACCTGCTCAAGCAGATAATCATAGTCATATTGCCGCTAGATTTTCCATGGTCTCCAAAAATTAGAGGCACGGATTCAGAAATTTCCAGACAAATTAACAAAAGAAACTCCAAAATTGAGTTTTGATTTTCTTGACACATTAAGAAATTAGTCATTTTTGTTTCAATAGGCATAATACAAACCTACTCTTTTTATGTTTTGCACACACAGAGAGTCATTTCAGAAAAGAAAAGAAAATTATACTTAAAATTGTTTTCATGTCTTTCTCCCAGATATTTTAAGCAACCTTTTAGCAATACCCGACACTGTTACCAAGATATTCCCGAAGTTACCCATCACACTTCTGACCCAGTATAAAATAACACTCAAGCAGGTCAAGCAACAATAAACAATTGAAAATGGTATACATGCATACGGTAAAGGCTGATATCACTAGAGACCAGTTCCTGTGGAGAGAGAGATGAAAACAGATGGTGTAATGTTGACGCATACACATGATCACATTCTACTGAACAGATAAAAATATAAATTTGGAAGAAGACAAACAAATGATAATGCATGACCATAAACTCATTTCACAGGAAACCAGCAATCAAAAGTTGATGAATAAAGGTCAAACTCTTTGGCATTGGCACACTCTCATATGAACAATCAGTGCTTTGACTTTCAGTGTTTCAAAAAAAGGCAGATAAGTTAGACAAATATCAATCAACCCTCTGAGTTCAGGACAGGGGCCGAAATTCACTATGGTATCAAATAACTACAGCTGAACACACATACAGATAATAAACAAAGACACTTCCTCTTAGTGGCTGACCTGTTTTCCTATCTCATCCATGATAATCATCCTTGGAAGTGATTGGACCTGCACAGAGGCATTTGTCACAACCCACAAACTCAATTCAAGTACGAAAATATATCATTAGCAGCAGGATTTACCAATCGCGAAAGTGACCCAAGGGTTGTACCGGATTGAAGAAGGTTAAAACAAGTGTGCTGCCGCGACAACAAATCCAATTCCCTACATAAGTGCAGAGAGAAAAACAATTGTTACTAACAAGAGGCAAACCAATTGAACAATCACACAGAATTATACATGTTACGGAATTTATAACAGTAACTCATGCCAATATCAAGATTAAAACATTCAACGGACTGCCTATGCATTTTTGTGCCAGTATGGAGCTGGCAAAATCATGTGAATGATACAATTTATGCAGCCTTTTTGCACAAGGAATAACATCATGGCATTTAACTTCTAAAGCAGTCAGTGTGCTTTGGCTTAAGCAATTACAGTTAAACAAAGGTGGTGATATTTTTTAGAAGCATCCTAGATGATTACCAAATCTCTGATTTCCTTTTATTTTGGCACTGTAGTGAAGCCTTACCATTCTGTAAAGCCTTTGTTGCTGGCTAAAAGGATGTATGTGCCTGATGCACCAACATATAGGCTAGCAGATTTCAGACCAAATAGTTGCCGCAACTGCCCCATAAAAACTTCAAAAACCTTGTTAAGGTCCTGTTTCAGAATGTGCATGCATCAATCTTGAGAAAATGAATTAGAAGCCATCTGCAATAAGACAACATGGACTTCTAATCATTTCAAGTTGAGAAGAATGCAACCGCAAGTTATAAATCCACTTTTTAAAAGATACAGACAGATAGAGAAACTAAACCGTAGTCTTGCAGAATGATAGAAAAAGGTGATCTTGAGAAAAAAAGGTGGAAGACAGCGCATATACAAAATATAAGAAGTTGCATATCCATGCCAGTTAAAATTCTAGCATAGGAAAATGTTAACTCCTCTGACATATCACCTTCTTTCTAGACTTGAGATAAAAACAAATAATCAGTCACTGGAAGTAACTATGACGTCAACTCTCCATCTTCACATGCATCTTAATTAGCTGAGAGCAAATTTAGCAGCCAAAACCATTGTAGCACAATGTTATAAAAAGTGACAGCATTGTTGGAGAAGCATGACAGCAATTACAATTCCCACAATGTATAGTGAATGATGAATGGACTAATAATCTGTTTTAATGAGTTTGTTTGCAGCGAAACTTTTCGCTAAAACACATATACTCAGTCAGAGATGGGCTTCTGACCTTGGGAGAAATTTTGTGCCTGAGATGATTTACACTTTCTGAATCCCTCAAACAGCCTGGGGGGTTCCAAACCATAACACCTCCCCACATCTGCAAGATGCCATATTAGATCTGGTGATGTAATAAAATTTCACAAGAACAATGAGAGAGAAAGATGTATGACGCTGATGCTTCTGATGATGATAGAAGCATAATATCTCACCGGAGATATAAAGCCGTTTGTCATGGAAATTTCTCCATCAGGAAGTTGTAACAGAAGAGGGCACTCCTTCACAGAGGGTACATAACTGACAGTATAGAGATAGAATAGCCATATTAAGCATTGAATAGCTGTTATTATTGACTTCTTCGGATCTTTAATAGCAATGGCCACAACTGAAGTTGACAGAAAATCATGAAAATTTTGAGCAATAAACTTTATCTGCATACGTTCTTTTTCTTTATAACAATTTTTATTCAGATTATATCCATAGTGCAAAGTATATTCACCCTGAGTCATCTATAGTATTATTCTTTGATAGGGAACAAAAATTTCATTGATTAAAGAAAAGTCCATACAGTCCTTTCTTCGAGCAATCTCATCAATCTTTAGCACAAACTATTGGTTGATATATATTGATCATACACCTGGCATGATGTATCTCAACCTGGCAATAACTATATTACAACCATTGGAAAAAGGCTACTGTAAATTTTTCATTTCGATACAAATTATAAAAGAAAGGGATTATAAGAGCATACACCACAAACTGGAGAATTTTTGACCGCCCACCCGCTGCAATGGAAGTGTCCAAGTGCCACTCATTTGAATTCACCTATAACTTGTACAATGACACGAGTGAGAAAGAATAAATTACTCAACACACTAGCCACACAATAAAGACCAAGCATTCTATCGAGAAATGTACCAAGCTAATCCTTTGAGAAGTAGTGTTAGAGATGACAAAAAAATTATCCAACTATTGCATTGGACAAAAGGCATCATAAAATGGTACCAAGAAAGGTTATTTACTTATTTTAGAAATAATAGTAAAAGCAGATTGTGGAGACCACAGCATTACAAACAACGGAAGCCAATATTGCATTCTATCTTCATTTGCTATGCAACATTGTCCACAATTTGCCTAAAAGATTAAGAGATTTTAAGTGGTGTTTTCTTTAGGAGTGTACAATTAAATGATACTTCTTGTCATATTCTTCGAAATGTCCAATTTAATAATTTTTATTTTTGTAGATGAGAATGTGCAATTCACAGGAGTAGTCAAATGAGCATACAAAGAAAGGCATATCTTTGGTACTGAAAAGATAGCTCTCCCACTTGTCATCCCAATAAGAAAATGAGGACTTTGGAGTATGGTATAAAACCTGCAAGTACAAAACAGGGTTACATAGTAGAAAAGATAGACGTACAACTTAATTTTCCAATGAAACACCTGCATTAGAGTGATATTGGGTGATAAATTCCAAAAAAACAAAAGAAAGTAAGTACTACCTGAGATTCCACACTTATATTTGCTACCGGTTCCAAAGCCTCAATAACTGGAGCCAATAGAATTTCGTCTATCTCTTGAAAATTCCTGAAGGCAACGAGGGAATATTAGACGGACGACGTACATTTAGAGCAAAATTTTGAAAACTGGGGGTGGGAAGAACAGTTAGATCAAAATATAGTTCAACAATTCAAAAAATTTCCACAACTACGATCATCAAGTGACAGCACTAAAAAAAACAGTGAAGTGAAGAACTCAGATATACAATAAAGACTATGGTAGGCATTACTTGGAGAATTTTCCAAGCATACTGGAGAGTGGAGATAGTTAATCAAAACAATTTATGAATCTCAGACTTGTATTAGTTGAGATCCAACCTCTTCTGGTACTAGTTTAGTGAAGGTAACTTTCATTGTGGATATCATGATGAGATAAGTAGCAAGATATATGGTCTGAAGAATTTTTTTCCATTTTCTACCCTAACAGCATCATCACAACCAAATATAGGACACCTAGAAAAAATGTACTTGGAAATCCAACTAAATCCAGACATTTTCACCAACTTTCTCAGAAACATACTCATTGGAATATCAGTGGGCGTTAACAATCCATGTGGCATCATCTCTTTGATATCAAATAAAGGATTTTCAGAAAAAGAGAGACACATAAATGAACAGATTCATCATCATATGTTCCAATTTGAGATTATATGGAAATAATTGTTGAAAATGTCATTGGTAATAAGCTCAGATTACATGCGGAAGATATAACCAAGTTCCATACCAATCATAAATCCAATCACGCGGATCAGCATTTAACAAATTGAAAGAAAGCACAATCCTCCCATCAGCCCCCACTGGCATAAACTCCCCATGAATCACCCCTTCCTCTTTCCCACCATTCACAAAAACCTTCACAAAAATCTCCGCTATCTTCTCTAAGGCATTTTCCTCCAAAACCCTCCCTCGAATCCATGCGTGTCGATACTTTCCCACCACGGCCCTGATCTCCTCATCCGAATTTACCACCACAACACTATAAACCTTCCCACCATTATTTATATCCTGACCTCCCAATACAGACTCCAGATATTCATCAAAATCCTCATCACTATTCTCCAAATTCTCATCAAATTTGAAGCTATCAAGTACTCCACACTGCCATGATCTAGTGATTTTCCCATTCTGACTCTGAATGCAATTAGTATTGGCATCTATTGTTACTGAGACTGTGAAATTGTTGCCACCACAAGTTCCACAATCTTGATTGTCGCCAATGAATTTTTGCATGTGAGCAATAATTGAAAACCCTAGTTTATCAGCGGTGGACGAAGTTGAGGTGGCGTGGTTGAAGCCTACGAAAATTGCGTGGAATTTGCAAGGGAATAACAATGGATTCGACTCGATTGATGTTGACAGTAAATCGATGTCGCGGAATGGGAGTGGTGATCGGTAGATCTCTATCGTTTTCAGCAACAATGGCAGACCTGTATAGGAAATGAAAGCACAAAAACATAACAACAATTACCATCTCATTCGTATAACTATATAACGAGTGAGCGAGAGAGAGAACGAAAGAGAGAGAGACCTAAGAGGAAGGAGAAGAGAACTGTGAAGGTAAGGATGAGGCGCTTCAGTCCAGGTTTGGTCTTTCGCATGGTTTTGGGATCGAAGTTCGATGTTTCGGAGTTGTTGTTCTTCTTGTCGGCGGCTTCGGATGCGTCGTTGGAAGTTCCAGGAGCTTCGGAGATTTCGGCCATTGCTCAACTACTTGGAGCTTACTCTCGTTAAAGTCTTCAAGTTCAGCGTTCCACCATCCTTTCTTAGCTCTTCGGGGAAGATGGAGGGGGAGGTTGAGAAAAAAGATAGGGTTAATCTCATTTTGCACCCTAAAAAATTGTTTAAATTTTAATTTATATCCTTAAAGATTAAAAATCTTAATTTATACCTTCAAAGATAAAAATTTGTATCAATGTGCACCCTCAAAGATAGAAATTTATATCAATGTGCACCCCAAAGATAAAAAATCTCAATTTACACTCTTAAAAATAAAAATTTGTATCAATATGCACCTAAAATTAAATTAATAAATTATACCTAGATACCCTCATGTTTGTCACTTAATCATTTGAACTCTTTCACATTTAAAATATTCTCTTTACTTCTCATGACGTTTGTGCATGTGTAACACATAACTACTTTTCGTTGATATCTGTTAATATATTCGTTAAAAAATATGATTTTATCCTAATAAAAAATTATAATTTCATATTACCTTTTATTTTGTGAATTTGATATACTCTAAAGTTGAAAATCAAGCTTACCATTTGAATATCTAATAAAATGTAGATATTTATATAAAAGATAATATGAAAAATATTATATAAATATTTACATTTTATTAGACATTCAAATGGTAAACTAGATTTTGAACTTTAGAATATATTGAACCCATAAAATAAAGGGTAGTATGAAATTATAATTTTTTATTAGGATAAAATTATATTTTTTAACGGTTATATTAATAGATATCAATGAAAATGAGTTACGTGTTATACGTGCACAAATCTAATAAGATGTAAGAGTAATATTCTAAATGTGAAGAGGTCTAAATGATTAAGTAATAAGTATGAGGAGATTTAGGTATAATTTATCAATTTAGTTTTAGGTGCACATTGATACAAATTTCTATCTTTGAGAGTGCAAATTGAGATTTTTTATCTTTGGAGTGCACATTGACATAAATTTCTATCTTTTGGTGCAAATTGAGATTTTTGATCTTTGAGGGTACACATTGATACAAATTTCTATCTTTGAGGGTGTAAATTAAGATTTTTGATTTTTGAGGGTATAAATTCAGATTCGAACAATCTTTCAGGGTGTAAAATGAGATTAACCCAAAAAGAAAAAAGTTAGAGATTAATATCAAAAGCAAAGGGAGAATTACACCTACACCCAAAGGTTTATCATTTAATCATTCAGACCCTTAATATTTAAAATATTATATATAAACCCCTAAAGTTGTTCATGTTAATTAAATTACACATAGATCCCCTAAAATTTATAAATATATAATACTTAGACCATTTAAATTTAAAATATTATACTTAAACCAAAAATATTACAATCAAAGATAGAATATCAAATTTTTAAATTTTATAACCAAAATTCATGTTCTATTATTATTTTTATTAAAATAAAATTTAAAAATAAAAATTTATTTTTTTCTTAAAAAATGATAATTAATATATAATTATACTATTTAATAGAATTTAATTTTGTCATTTAAACAATCAAATTACCCTAATTAAAGCTAGAAGATATTGTATTCATTACAATTTGACCCTTATTTGATTTTTTAATTTTATTTCAATAGATAGTATAATTATATATTAATTATGATATTTGACAAAAAATTAGACTTTTATTTCAATAAACGACATAATAAAATATGAATTTTGATTGTAAAATTTATGTTTTAATATGAATGCCTTAAACCCTTTATTTAATTTTTTAGTTGTATTCCAATCGATAATATGATTGTATATTAATTATAATTTTTGAAGAAAAAAATTTATTTTATTTTTATTTTAATAAATGATAGAATAAAATATAAATTTTGGTTATAAAATTTATAATATTTGATATTTTATCTTTAATTTGAATATTTTTTGTCCAAATATAATATTTTAAATTTGAGAAGTTTAAGTATTACATATATATAAATTTCAGGGTTATAGGTATAATTTTTTAACGACAACAAGGGTCCAAATTTTACACACATAAAAATTTTAGGGTATTTGTATATAATATTTTATATATTAAGAGGTCTAAGTAATTAATTAACGAACTTTAGATGATGTATTTCTCCCAAAAGGAAAAGATGAGAGAAAATTTAGGAGAATCACACCCTATACTCTAAAAATTATTTTGTCTCTGATTAATTTTTTTATATTTGACCTTTAATATATTAAAATATTATAATTTGACCCTTCTATTAACGTATATTGCCGATTCTCTCAAAAACTACCCATTGATAGTTAGTTGAATAGGCGGCAGAAATTAACGAAAGGATCACATTTTTATATTTTTAATGCATTAATAAGACAATATGAAAATTTTAATTTATTAAGATATAAAATATTAATTCTTAAATGTGTTGGAACATAAAGTGCAATTCGCCTGAAAATTTAATTATCTTTTATTGTTTGAGACTGAACATGAGGAGAAATAAAACAATGTATATTAAATTCTAATAATTCATTTAACTAGACTTGACATTAGTCCAACTTATTTATTACTGAGATTGTGTTCTCAAATGATCTATATAACTCGTGAACTGAAAACTCATGATTCTCTTAATCAGACTCACCACTCATATTCCTGTTAACTGATATTTACACATAATCCAAATGCTACACTTAATCTAGATGCTACTAAGTATACGGTTTTAATTGTAAAAATATTCATATAATATCATCATATGAAGAAATGGAAAATAAACACATTTTTTGTACAATAAAAAATTAAACGTGTTTATCATAGCAAAATTATTTCTTTGTGTCTAACACTTAATCGACTCATTATCACTCCTATTAATATATTGGGATTGCTTAGAGGTGGCTGAAAACTTCAGCTTTCGGAGGATTAAAAGGAAAAAAAAAGTCTGGTCTGTTTGGATTCAAGCTTATTGGACGGTTTTTTTATCAACTTTTTAGGTAAAAACAACTTTTATCAGCACTAAAGAAAAGTAGACAATAAGATTTATCCAAAGACTTCCATGGAAAAATCGATTTTTTCGAAAACACTAATTTGATATTGAATTCGTATCATGCTAATGTCTTGTGTCAAAACTTATCAGCAGTACACTTATACAGATGACAATCATCAGCAATCCAAAGTTAAACATGGATCCTCTTACTATTTTTCCATAGAAATCAATATGCTAGTGCATCAACACATTATTATCAGTCCAATATTGGCAACCTGAAGCTGCTCTCATTTTCTCAAATTGCACTATAAATTGGACAGGCCTCAAGCACCACTCTCCATCCCGAAGAGCAACACACACTTTAGACACAAGGGATAGGTTACCATGGAGAGAGTTGCCAAGGCCAGCTTCGCCCTCGCCTTGTTTGTGGCAGTCCTTGCAACCCTCGGGCTTTTTGGGGCTTAGGTTGGTTCCCATTTATCCATCCATGGTTTAAATTCCCATGGGATGGTACTTTCCCCTGGTTTGGAGGTATGCACAAGCACAAAGTTGACAGGAAGGCACCAGATGGAAGTCCATGATCGTTAACCCTTGTTTATGGTATTAGGGGAGGTGTTTGTGTACATAAATAATGTCCACTCCTGCTTGTTTTACAAGTTGGTGAGGAGATTTGGATTTTGCTGCTTACTATGTTTGTGATGGGATATGGTCAGGTTCCTGTGGGTTTTGACTCATCTGGGGTTGTTCTCTGTTTGATTTCTATGCAATAAACCAATCTTTTGAAAGAATTGTGGTTTCTCTCTCTCTCTCTCTCACACACACACACACCCCGCATGAGCGAGCACAAAAAACACGGGCACACCCACACATTCATTCTTACATAGCTACAAGGAATAACTTAACGGGAAGCACCTTGCAACTTTCTTTCCTGATGCTTTTTAAGTCCCAAATAGATGATAATCCCAGTTCATAGTTATGCATAATAACCAAATAAGCTTAAACCATGTTATAGGCTCTAGTATCGTATAACTATTACATAAGCTGAAAATAAACTGCTACAAACAGACACATTGTTTTCATTATCAGATGATGAGCATCAGGTGAAAGAAAAGAGTAAACCTCAGCGAGTCTGGGTTTCAAACCCTCCTGGACTGAACCGGCCAATAGGTTATAACTATCAAGAAAGTAAGAATCAAAGAGAAAATTATGCACTTTCTAGATGGGAATTCACTCACTCAAAAGAGAGAGAAATCAGCGTTTCATTGATAGCTTGAATCAAATTACTCATTAGCTAAAAACCAAGATGAAAATGTAAATTCCGCCTCAATAAGCAATTTAGATGATACAAACTCTCAATCCAGGGGGAAAAGATACAAAATTTTCAATAACACTGAACAAAAGAACTAGCCTCTACTCCAATTCCTCCTCCTATAGGAGGGGCTGAGCCAGAATACTTACTGTGCAATTGAGTAGATGCTTGATTAACATCACCTCTGACCAAAGCTTGAATAGTAGTTATGCCAAAAGTTCTCAGCTCCTATATCCTAGAGCTTGGGTCTGAAGATTTTGGTTGTCTTCTAACAAACGATCGTATTCCAGTAGTAGATCAGCAGCTTGTTTCTGGAGTGCAGCAACATGAGATTCAGCAGTTTCTACCCGTTTTTCCTTCTCTGCAGACTCCAACTTAAGCTTGCTCAAACTCTCAGTTAAATCTGAAATTTCTTTCTGGAGCTGCTTTATATTTTCTTTGGCGTTCTCCTCCTTTTTTTTAAGCTGCAGTTTTTCTTTTTCAAGCCTTTCAACTTCCTGTCTTGAAGCTACCACAGTACCTCTCAAACCGGCCAGTTTTCGAAGATAATGGTGCATTCGATCAATTAAAAATCCAAGAAACAGAGAGAACCCTGCAAGATCAAATTTGGGCCTTTAGGGGGATATAAAACTGAGCTGAAAAGGACAGATTCTAAAATTATCACTCACTGAAGTCCTGATCATAAGCCACAAGTTTCTTTCGGCATGTTTGTATTATTTGTTACCATTTCATTGTCAAATCACAAATCAGCCCACCGCCCCCTAGTATGAAAAAAGCTTCACAATAAAAGCATGTTTCAAATCATTTGGGACTGCCTCATTCCCTTTATTGGGATATAGTATGTCATTGAATCATATGCTTTCTTCTCATTCTTACTCTATACTTCCAACACAACAGCAGAACCTCTCCCTCTTGTAGCAATTTCCAAATTCAAATTTATGCTATAAACATTAAACTAACTGCCCTATCCAGCAAAGTTCCAGTTCATACAAAAAAAGAAAAGCCCCTAGCTGCCATTATAGAAGAATCATTTCCAACAAATCAAGAGAAAAATGCTTTACTAAACAGCTAATGAAGTTTGTTGTTATACAGAATCTAACGACCCTATTCTCCTCCTTCTGGTTCGAACCCATATTGATTTACACATAGATTATAGTGCGACGCCTTTGATATTCTGTGTCTTCTTTGCTTTTTGCATCAATATCCATCTCTTCCCTCTGCTAAATCTGTGGGAGGGAAAGATTTCCTTCTTCTGCTTCAGTTTTTTATATCACTAATTCATGCCTTAGTCACCACTTGAATCACTGGGTTGTGTACATGCTTTTGTAGCCATGTAGAGTCACACTTAACCAGACTAAACCAAGTCTTATGTCCCAATTATTTAGAGTCGGCTATATGAGTCCGTCTTTGCCATTCATTTCGGTCATGCGCTATACAAGTAAACGATTACCATGCTATAATTGCCCAAGTACCAATTGATCGTGTATAACAGCCTATTCTATAATTACATTTCGGTCTAAATAACTTGAATCAACGCCGAATGCCATAATTGCCCAAGTAGGCAAGTACCAATTGATCTCAGCAACATTTGTTCCCAAGTAAATTTGAAATTATTTTCCAGGATGGGATGTTACACAGAAACTCAAATTACCAATGAAGTTTCTATTTTCTTCCGATGAGCATTACGATTACCATGCTTCATGTGACTAAATTATAAATTGGAAGCGCACTCACAAACCATAGAATCCAAGATAACCCTGTACATCCTTTTTGTAGTTCTCAATGCAATACAATCACCAAACATTAAGCATAAAGACAACAATTTTTATTTGTAAGAACATGATGAACCACACAAGCAACTAATTGAGAAAGACATTCCAAATTCACAGAGAAATAATGTTTGCACAGTGTATACGTATTTCCCAAGAGGATTAGGATCATACCCATGAGAGAAGCCTCCAGCACATGGGTCCTCCAAAGAACCTGATCCATCGGTGTCATGGTACCAACCTTAGCACCCTTGTTCTGAATCTTGACAATACTAATGAAGTTGAAAAAGAGGATCACAGACATTACACTTGCAACAGTCAAAACAGTGCCCTTTCTCATCTTCACCTGATCCAAACCCTTCATCACCAGCTCTCTCAGTAACCCAATCTTCACCATTAGAAGGAATGCCACCGCGCCCTCAGCAAAGAGAACCAAGAACAATAACTGAATCATCTTTACCACAAGAAAAAACCCCACCTTTCTCCAACTCTAAATCAATCCGTAATTTGTCAAAAATGGGTGGGTGTTCTACTTAATGGTGAAGTCATAAAGCCAGGTTCTCCTTTTCAAGCAAACTAGAACACCAACAAGCCAATCTTGGTGGGAAAAAACCTAATATCTCTCATTGACAGAAGAATAACAACTATTCTTGCAGAAGCCCTTCTCTTATTTCCCTGGGACAACGAATTGCTTCTGGATAATCTCTGCTTAAAAATCAAACCTTGAAAATCCCACCATACATCAACAGTAGAAAATTCTTCAATTTTCTGCAAGTGGTGTCTTGATTCCTGAAGTAAAAGATAACAAACCCATACTTTTTGGAAGAAAAATGAGGGCTTAAGGCCACAGATCTGAAGGATTAGTTACAAAAAGAAAGAAAGGAGTTATATTTCCTGACTGACTACATTTGCTATCGTCATCTGTTTCTCTCTAAATTAATGGTGTGGTTTTGGGGGGATTAGTGAGATGGGTTTGCACTGCAAGGTGGGTTTTGCTTTACAGGCCAAAAAGGATTGGCACCGAAAAAAGAAAATAAAAAATGAGAATGTTTCAACTAAAAGTGAAAGAAATGTGAGTTGGAAGTCATGGAAGTGAAGGGAAAAGCATGTAGGAAGCGTGAAATAAGGAAAGTAGAATCAGTAAGTATACAGACAGTGGGATAATCCTATTTTTATTCACCTAATTACTATAATTATTAAATTAATAATAAATTTTAATTTGACCATATTAACAAATTAGGTGCAAGAAGGAGATTGTATCGTACTAATTACTATCATACGTGCATCAAGAATCTCTTTTTTTTTTTTTTTGTTCAATAGTTAGGAGTGTTCAAATTAATTTATGCACATCTCGATTAATCTTCTTTTTGATTTGGTCAAAGACAAATCATCTATGTTCGAACTAAAATATTTACGAGAGATAAATTTCTCTTAACTGGATTTAAAAATTCAAACACATGACATCTAAGTTTACTATTTATCATATATTGAAGAATCTCACTTTGTGTTACGATAGATTTAAAATTTTTGATTTTGCATGCTCAAAAATTAAAATTTTCACGTCGTGTTATTAATGTGTTAAAACTATTACGATATAACACTTATGTTAATTTATGTTACTTATCCCGCCAAAAATCATCTCATTAGAGCTGACAAAAAATGAATTGCAAAAACTAATGAAAAGGTTCCGTTATACTCCTCTGTTCCTAAATATTTATAGTCTAAAATTTTTACACAGGAATTAAGAAAACTATTAAATAACTCTGATATGAGTAAAAAATAATTACACAAGATTAAAATACTCTTATTCAATATGTATTGGGAAGGAAAGGAATATGAAATACACTTCACTTCCACCTAATTTAATGCATTGAAAAGTTAAAGATAAATTTGAAAGAAAAAATATTAATTATGCTTTGATTTCATAAAACGACAGATATTATGGAATAAAAAAAATTATATAAAACGATAGATATTTAAGAACGGATTGAGTAATATTTTTAATATATTAAAGATACAATATAAAAAAAAAATTAATTTGTAAAAATATAAAATATAATTTTTTAAATCTTACGCGGTGCAAAGTGAAATTCACCCAATGTTGAGACTCCCAAGTGGAGGGTTCGGGACCTGCAAGCTTGGAGAATGATTGGGCATTGTTTGGGGATTTAATAAGCTAAAACGAGCTTATATCCTTCTCTTTTCTTTTTTCTGTTTGCTTGAAACAGTTTTTAAACCAATCATGCTTGTTAGATTAATCCATCTCTATCAGCTTGTTTTTCTCCAACCGTACCACGTCTACCCAATTCATTATAACAATCTCCACCCTTTTCCCTTTAAGTCATTGAGGCTAATGATTAATATAAAATTGCTGAATAACTCACCCACCAGGGTAACGGCAAAATATATATAGTAATCTTTACGCTAAAGTCAATATTATTATGTTATATGATCGTCTTATTATAATTCTAAGGAAGTAAAATATATCTCTATTTTTTAAATAATTAGCTGATGCATACATGCGTTGAACGTAAATTATTTTAAAAAAATAAAATACAAAATACAAAATAATCAAAAAAATTAATTTATGTTTTTTTTAATTTATACACTTGAATTAACGAGGAAGAGTTAAGAGTTGGACTATCGAAATCAACTACATCCTATCAACGGATCAATAATGCACAAATATTGTTCTTTGTCACATAGTCAAGTTCACAAAATAGTCAGAAACATCATCATCCCTTCACTCACGTCAATCTCAATAATAAATTATGAGATATTATTTGTTTTGAATGGAAAATAGTAGATCTTATTAAAAAAAAATGACGTATTGAATCAACCAGAACAAATCAAGACCTCACTCGGTTCAATTAAATTATTCAGTAAGACATAGTTTGAGGTTTGACGTTTTGCTTCACTAACTGAAGTCAGTGTCTTGTGAACATCACTATAATTGTTTGACACGAAGTCACAAGCTAAATGTCGTAAATTTCCCACTATGTAGCTTATTTAGCTATCATTACAACTTGCAGACATAGTAATTATGTTTAACATAATAAAAGAGAAATTTCAAATTTTTTTTTTTAGTGACACAAAAAATCCTTTACCTCCTAAGAGGAATAACGAAAAAGAAATGCAAGTTGTGCGTGCAAGATCCTGCACAATATAAAAAACGAGAACAGATCTCTCTCTTGGTGAATTCGAGTGAGCCAGTTGAGTGACCAACCACGCTACTTGGAACAGCCTACGAGGTCCGGTGGTAACCTGGAACGGCAACGGGAGACCCTGGGGGAGCGGAAGAACGATCCAGTAAGGCTGAAAGAGGTTACTGGAACAAAGAAGAACAAGTTAGAAGGGCATCGGAGTGTTTTTCGGCGTATCCCCTCCGACGATCTAGTCAGTCTTTGAGAGAGAGAGAGAGAGAGGAAGGAGAAAACACTGAGTGTGTATTGTAGTAAAGAGTTTTTTGTTGCATACCCGTCTTGCCTTTTGCAAGGAGTATTTATACCTCAAAAGCTCATTATTGCTGTCAGTGTAGTCAGTAGGTGATCATTAGGTACAAGCAGTGTGCGCACTGATTCTGATGAGGAATGTCTTCTCTTCTTAACTGCTCGGGGTCCCGAGCAATCAATGCTGGGTCATCGGGATACCGACGGTACAATGTACTCCTCTCGGGGAGGATGCAATAAATGCTCTGTATTAGGAGCATTTATTGTCTTTCATTTTCGATTCTTACCGCATTGAATGCGGTCTCATCAAAGGAATTGTGTAATTAATCGTTTGCTTTCCCAAGTCGCGTGTCAGCAACGGCATGCGGTTTCTCTGTCTTCGATGTGATATCATACGCCACGCGTCCATCCCCCATTGGCTGTGGCCCCTGCATTCCAGTACGTTCTGACACTAATTGTGTAAGACGATGTCATGATGAATAGCCTAAACTAGCCTAGGCTAATGACCTGTACGTCAATAGCTTATCCTGAAGTAGAGGAAGCGTCCAGGACGAAGGTACCTCTCGGCACCGAGGAAAGGCCATCTCGGAACCGAGGGAGGTATACCGACCGAGGTACCATATCAGACCGAGGCTACGTGTTGGTTGTAAAACATACTGAATGCCATGATCCTATATGACGAGTACCTCGGGGGCGAGGACCTTTATGCGCCGATGGTGCTTGATCTTAGCAACAGTGTTTTGGTAAATACCGAGGACACGTGTCTTCATCATGGAGTATTTCAGAAAAGTCCCATCAACTGTCCCCCAACCTTCGATCTTCTGACACCGAGGACACGCGTCGTAAAGAGACGAAGGGTTTTCCCAACCATCAATGCTTCATCATTGCCTCGAGCCGCTTTCCCCGGCTTAGGATGTCGTGTGCATTAAATGCGCCGTTTCGTTTTTCGCGCCCAATGATGAAACTGCCACTATATAAATGGGGCTCCTCTTGCATTTTCTTGTTTCGCCATTCTGAACTTCCTCAAGAGAGCCTTTTCCTGAATCTTCGCCGGAGATCTCTTTCATCTTCCATCGTCGACTGCCCATTCTTCCTTAAAGTCTTAAGGCCAGCAGACCCATCGTTGCTTCTGAACTTTCTGGAAGGAGTCGCCTAAAGTTTTCCAGAAAAAACTCCGTTTGACATTCGGGTGAGTCCTAGTTTCTTTCTTCTTTTCTTCCTTCTATCCCTTTTTGTTTTCCGATGACTGGAGGTGTCTCCGGTTGATACTTAGCGACTAATCCTCGGGAAGCTTCCTCAGGGATTTTTAAGAAAAAACACCCTCCACTTTCTCACTTTCTTAGAGATGCCTCGTCGTCGCCCTGCTCCCGAGAATCCTCAGGCTGGTTCTTCGGGGTCGGGGAAGTATAAAGTAAAGGGTGGTGAGCAGATTAATAGGTTTAAGGTCAAGTACGGCATTCCCCCGTGCGTAGACATAGAGGATTATGACCCGGTGGTGCACTCTCCTACCCTCGGGGCCGAGGATGCTATGCCCTTTTATACCAAGGCCATAATAGAGGGAGGAATTAGGTTTCCTTTACCCCCTTTACTTCTTCAGTTCCTCTCTCACTTCCGCCTCTTCCCCGGGCAGTGTTGCCTTAATGTCTTCAGAATAATTATGGGGGTCTTAGAGCTCAATAGGCGCCTCGGGGTAAATATTGGGCTGAACGATCTCCTTTTTTGTTATTCCCTCCTGAGAGTCATGCCTCACCAACACTTCTACCTCAAAGCCAGGGACCCCTCCATGTACCTTGTAACTCATCTTCCCGACTCGGACAAGGGGTACAAGGACGATATTCTTATTTTCAAGGGATCTTGGCAGAGAGGTGTTGGTCCCGAGTATAACGGCTTGTTATGCCCTCTGGAATGGAGAACGACAAGTACGTCGGTTCCTTCGGGTTTATTATTTTTTTCTCCAGATTTTCCATGTTCATGACTACTTTTTTGTTTGTGCAGATATTCCTGCTCGGGAAACAGCTCCTCCCCCTCGGTCGCTGGTGAACTTTGCCGACCTAGTCACGGTTTGGAGATTCACTGGTGACAACGGGTTCGGCCGGGCTGCCCACATCCTGCTGAATTACATCCCCGGGTATAAGAAATTTTCACAGCTTCCTCAGCCTTTTGAGCCTTCGCAGTGGTCTGAACTCTTCGATCAGGCGGCGAGGCAAGAGGTCGAGGAAAACTTGGAAGAAGACCCTGATCGGGCTTCGGAGGCAGAAGTAGAGGGATTAGTTGAAGAGCTCGGGGTCAGAGAGGACTTTGTTCCTTCGGACGTCGAGGTGGGGACTTCGGGAGGAGATTTGTGGCCGGACTTCCAAGTTTTACAATCTCTAGACACTGAGGACGCCCTCGAGGTCGCGATGTCCAGCACGCCTCGTATTGACCTGGGGTTCCTGAGGCAGAGGCAAGCCCTTGCTGCCGGGAAGGGTCGAGGATCGACCGACGGCGCCCCATCTGCAGGGACCAGTTCCACCCCATCCTCAAGAGTTCTCAGTCGGGGTCAAGTGCGTGACCGGGATCCTCAGGTAGAGGAGGAGAGAAGGGTCAAGCATAGGCACGATGGCCTCGGCAGAGGATCCAGGGCATCTTCCGCTCAGCA